CCCTCTCACAACTGGATAAGAAAGGAACATATGTGAGAATGCTGTTTGTTGATTACAGCTCAGCATTCAATACCATGGTGCCCTCAAAGCTTGTCATCAAGCTCCAGGACCTGTGACTGAACACCTCCCTCTGTAATTGGATCCTGGACTTCTTGACGGAACGTCCGCAGGTGGTGAGGGTGGGCACCAACATATCCTCTACCCAACTCTAAACACTGGAGCCCCCCAAAGCTGTGTGCTTAGCCCTGTCCTCTACACCTTATTTACCCATGATTGTGTTGCCAGGCATAACTCAAACTCCATCATCATGTTTGCGGACGATACAACAGTCATCGGCCTGATCACAGATGGTGAAGAGTGTGCTTACAGGGAGGAGGTTGAAACCCTGGCAGCATGGTGCCAGGAGAACAACCTCTCTCTGAACATCAGTAAGACTAAGGAGATGATTGTGGACTATAGGAAACACCAGGGAGGAGATCACACACCTATCTACATCAATGGGACTGCAGTGGAGAGGGTCAGCAGTTGTAAGTTCCTGGGAGTTAACATCTCAGAGGACTTAACCTGGAACCACAACACCAACACCATGGTCAAAACAGCACGGCAGCGCCTATTCTTTCTCCATGGGCTAAAGACGTTTGGCATGCCATCACATATCCAAGCCAACTTCTACAGGTGCACTATTGAGAGCTTCCTGACTGGTTGAATCACTGCCTTGGATCCCCAGCCCGGGATCGCAAAGTACTACAGAGGGTGGTGAAGTCAGTGCAGCTCATTACCGGCTCTGAGCTACCAAACATCCAGGATATCTACTCAGCTAGATGTCTTAAGAAGGCCAGGTCCATTCTCATAGGCCCCAGTCATCCCAGTCACAAACTCTTTTCCCTCCTACCGTCTGGTAAACAATACCAAAGCATTCAGTCCAAGTCCAACAGATTACGGAACAGCTTCTACCTCCAGGCAATAAGACTGCTAAATAGCCAACCTACAGCTCCTTTAGCAAATCACCTGTAATGGTTACATGGACAGACAGTGTTCATTGCATTCAGCATACTGTATTACTTGTATATATTGCATACACCATGGACACATAACAGCTCTATTTATATTGAGTTGTATTCAATTTCTATTACATCTATTATTATGTAACTTCATTTTCGTAACCTTAATTTTGTGATTTTTGTGATTTTGTGATTCTTGTGATTTTGTGAGCCTGCAGAAAAGACATTTCATTGCCAGCAATTACTTACTGCTGCACACTGTATTGTTGTGCATTTGATAAATAAACTTTGATTTGGTTTTGATTTGACTGAGCAGTCACCACTCAGTGCACAGACTTTGTCCCAGTTCAGCACAACACTAACCCGGATACCTAACTTGAGAGAGCTGACTGTCAGGGAAAGGTACAGTACAGTATAGCAGGATCCTTCTGTAAGCTGCTTAAGAACTGGAGAGGCACTGAGCCAGCAGAGCATTGATTGGACAGACCCAGTCATCTGTTCCCCCACCCTTCTGTGCGAGAATTACGAATCCCCAGTTGTGGATGAGTATAATTCAGTATTTACCCTCTCGAGAATAAAATTATGTTAATGGGTTAACATCAATTCAACTAATTGAAGTAGTAGTACTGGAGTGCCTGAATTTTGATTACGTGAATGGAACTGATTAGGTAGCGTAACCAGCTGTATACGAACTGTAAGATCCTTGTTTTTTTGTATCTTTTTTGTATTATATTTTGAATGCTTTTATGTATATATTGGTTTAATGTATCAATAAATGTCTTTCATGTG